TAGTGTGTGAGAATAATAAACAGGCTTAACCAGACTGGTAGCCCTGAGAGTATATTTATGATAAATAAGTTACCAAATACAAATAGGAAACTGACTAATAATTAATTCTACACTATTACACCCCCTCAATCTATGCAGGAGGAACTATGCGTAGATTGTCTCGTAAAAATAAAAACTGCTGAGGAGCCAAACTCTTGGTGAAGATATCAGCGAGCTGAAATTTCGTAGGAACATACTGCACCAGGAGATCACCATGAGCTACACGTCCCGAACAAAGTGGTAATCAATATCAATGTGTTTGCTTCGAGCATGCTGTATGGGATTTGCAGACAAATATGAAGCAGATACATTATCACATAACAATCGAACCGGGCTATGAATAGGAAACCCAAGCTCAAATAGGATGGAGCGAATGTGCAATGTATCCTGAACTGTGTATGCAATGGCTCGATATTCAGCTTCTGTAGATGATCGAGAGACAGTGGGTTGTTTCTTGGACCGCCAGGAAATCAAATTAGGACCAAGAAAAATAGCATAACCAGATGTAGATCTACTACTATCAGGACAACCAGCCCAATCAGCATCAGAATAGGCCAGAACAGAATGTGGATGAGGGGACGGCTGGAGATGTAATCCGTGAGTAATTGTGCCCTGAAGGTACCTGAAAATTCTCTTAACAGCCAACATATGTGAAGTACGGGGAGCATGCATAAACTGAGATACTAAGTGAACAGCATATGTAATATCAGGTCTAGTCATAGTCAAATACTGCAATGCACCTACCATACTACGATACTCCGCAGCATCAGCAAGTAACTCACCATCAGTGAGAGACAGCTTAGTTCTACTAGGTAAAGGCGTGCAAACAGACTTTAGTGTGTGAAGATGGAAGCGGGTAAGAAGATCTGTCACGTATTTGGCCTGAGATAAAAATAAACCAGAGGAATTTCGCACAGCCTGAACCCCCAAGAAAAAATGAATATCCCCTAAATCTTTCATAGCAAAATATTTCCCTAAAAGAGAAATAAATTTACTAATAAGAGTAGAAGAATTTCCAGTAATAATAATATCATCCACATATAGTAATAAATAAATGGTTCGAGTGGCCTGACGAAAAATAAACAAGGAATTATCAGCACGACTACAGATAAAACCATGAGTCAAAAGAAAGCTACTGAATCTGTGAAACCAAGCGCGGGGAGCTTGTTTAAGACCATAAATGGCCTTGCGCAAGCGACAAATATGATTAGGAAACTGAGGATGAATAAACCCAGGTGGTTGACGCATGTAAACTTCTTCTGTTAGATGACCATGACGAAAGGCATTTTTAACATCCAACTGACGAATAGGCCAATGATATGAAATAGCTAAGGTCAGAACAATGCGGACAGTAGTGGGTTTGACAACAGGACTAAAGGTTTCAGAAAAGTCAACTCCTGCTTGCTGTTTGAACCCTTGAGCAACCAAACGTGCTTTATGTCGCTCAACAGAACCATCAGAACGATATTTAGTTTTATAGATCTATTTAGACCCGACCACATTTTTACCAGAGTCAAACGGCACCAATTCCCATGTATTATTAGCAATAAGTGCATTAAATTCCTCAGCCATTGCAGCTCTCCATTTAATATCTTTATTAGCCATAGAAAAGCAAGTAGGATCAGGAACCAAAACCTCAGTATTTAAATTAAAAAATGTTTTGGGTTTAAAAATACCTGATTTAGACCTTGTTTGCATGGGATGAATATTTTTAATGACAGAATTATCGGAGACATGCACATTACCACCCTCGGTAGCAGCCTGGGATGACGATCCTATCTCGGTAAAACTGTCCGGGACGGCAGCTGTCGGTGTCACGCTACCAGACCGAGAGTGGGTCGCGGAGGTGCCCGGTGTAACAGACTGTTGCCCGGTGCTTTTCGGCGTTGATGGCTGCAAACCGTCGGTATCCAGTGCCGGCGAGCAGTGCACTGGTGATGGTGATGCACATGTGTCCGAGTGAAAATCCTCCGGGGGCAATAACGGTGCAGTAGCAGTTGGTAAGGGCGTGGAGGAACGAAAATTGGACAGCGGACAAGGGTGGAAAGATGACAAGTCTGTAGACTGAGAAGATACAAGAGTAGAATAAGGAAAAATATTTTCATGAAACCGGACATGACGACTAATATAAATTTTACCAGTCCGAGGATCAAGACAACGATATCCTTTATACTCAGAAGCATATTCGAGAAAAACACACTGAACAGACCTAGGAGAGAGCTTATTTGCTGGAGTGGCAGTGAAATTAGGAAAACAAGCGCATCCAAACACACGCATAAAAGAGAAGTCAGGGGTCTGGTGAAATAATTTTTGATATGGAGAAAACCCAGTAAATTTCGTGGAAGGTAATCGATTGATAATATAAGCAGCAGTTAAAATAGCCTCAACCCAAAAACTGGCGAGCAGACCAGCGTCAATCAGCATGGTTCGCGCTAACTCAAGTAAATGACGATGTTTGCGTTCTGCTAAACCATTCTGTTGAGGAGTGTCAGGACAAGATTTTCTAAAAATAATTCCATTAGAATTAAAAAATGATCGCATACTTAAATTATCAAACTCAACCCCTGCATCACTTTGAAAAATTTTAATTTTATGATCCAATAAATTTTCCACCAGACATTTGAAAGATTTAAAATGAGTAAAGACTTCACTTTTACGCCACATGGGATATATCCACGTAAAACGAGAAAAATCATCAATAAAGGAAACATAATATTTAAATCCAGAAGATGATAAAATAGGAGACTGCCAAACATCAGAATGTATTAAAAATAAAGGTTTACTAGCACTATGGAAAACATCTTGAAACGGTAATCTTTGTGATTAACCCAAACGACACGAGGAACAATCATGATTAAAAGAAGATAAACTACATAGTTGACCCGACTTCTTAAGACCATCTAAAACTCTACTGCCACAATGTCCCAAGCGACGACGCCACAGTGGTCCAGGCGCCGCGCTAGAAACTAAAGCTAAAACTGGAGATGGAGACAGACGAATGGGATAGAGACCGGATCCGCTACTGGAAGCCTGAAGAAGAGTTGCCCCCGTGCTTTTGTCCTTTAGAAAAACAGAATTTTTATCAAAAATCACCATGCAATTATTGTCAGAACATAGCTTTTGAATGGATAATAAATTATATTTAATATGAGGAACATGAAAAACAGATTTTAAATGAAGAGGCCTTGACAAGGAATTAATGGAAATATTGCCAATATTTTTTATGGGTAAATTTGTGCCATCAGCTACAGTAACAGTAAGTGGTCCGGAATAAGCAGATTTATTAACTAATGTACCTTCCTGAGGAGTCATATGCGCAGAAGCACCGGAGTCTGGGAACCAGACAGCGTCATTAGTATCACCCACGGGTGCAGCAAGAGCAGGAGTAGATGGCTGTGAAAAACGGGACGGACAGGAAGTAGCAGAATGACCTGGTGAATAGCAAATTTGACAAACAACCGGTGGAGGAATAGAACCAAATTGTCCATCAACTAACGGTGAACCTGCATAGCTATGATTAGTACCATAAATAAAGTAGGGATGCGTATGTAACGATGAAAAAACCGTATTACATATAACTGAACCTGGACGTCCATGGGGAGGAGTTTGCGGATGATAGACTGGTGGCTGAAAATACCCCCCTTGGGGCTGCTGTCCCGGCCGTGGCTGGTAGTAGCTAGGCTGCGGGCCGTACCCGAGAGCCATGTAGTGCGGCTGGTGTTGCTGTCCGTTCCCGCGTCCTCGGCCGCGGTTGCCTCTGCCACGCTGACCTCGTCGTCCGCGTCCCCGATGATATTGATTGCCACCTCTCGGATCATGGCCAGGAGCTGCCGGGGCCACGGGTTGAGCAACAAAAGCAGCGGGCGACGATGCCTCCTGAGAGCGAAGATAAAGAATGTGTTGCTCTTGCTCAACAAGCCGTCTCCGTAGCTTATCAAACGTGAGTCCCTCCGGAAACGAAGTCAATGTGGTTATTATAGACTCATAATCAGGACCAAGACCGAGAAGTGTTTGCTCAATTATATCTTTCAGGGAGACCGGTGAATTAATCGTGGCAAGGGCATCAGTAATTTTCTGAATTTCACGCATGTATTGTTCCATGGTTTGATTGTCCTTCTTTTTAGTATTATTGAACATGCGTTTTAATTCCATAGAACGAGCCATGCTGGCAGCCATAAATCTAGATTCAAGTCTTTCCCAGATGGTAGCAGAAGTTTGAAGAGTATGAACTTCAACAAGTATATCACGGGATAAAGTAGCAAACAGCCATGAACAACTGTTTGATCTAACTTAAGCCAATAATAATACTCGTTGTTCACAACTTCTCTACGAGTAGCATCGAAAATAAATTGAGGAGGAGAAGTGATAGTACCATCTAGGATCCCCATGAGACCGTGAGAAACCAAAAACGATTCAAATTGGGTGCGCCAGGGCAGATAATCTTCAACTGCATCAAGCTTGGTGGTAACAATGTTCGTAATATTGGGAGCCGAAAAACCCATAGCTTGTGCAATTGCCTCCAGGGAACTAGTGCGGGCTGCTGCCGGTCAGCCTATCGGTGATACCGTAGGCGGCGGCGCTAATCCTTGTGCTCCAGAAAACGTGGGACCGCCAAAAAACATCCGGGAGGAGGAGGATGCCGAAACTGACCGTGTGGCTGAGTCTGGACCAGTCGAAGGAGTGGCAGTAACCGGAGTAGACCAATCAAACACCGGTGGAACCCAAACCGATGCATCAAAAGGCGGCGGCTGCAAGGCAGTGGACGCCGAGCCAAACGAGAGAGAGAACGGAGCAGACGTAGTAGAAGAAACTGACGGCATGGTGACGGCCTGACGGGCGCGGCCGTGGTGAGAGGCGCTGCCATCGTCGTTGTAATCGGGGTGGTGGTTGCGGTGGTTTGTCCAGCGGCGGCGGCGGACGAAGCCATGAGAACCGAAAAAAAAAAAATTAGGGTAAAGGGATGGCTCTTGATACCATGTGAGAATAATAAACAGGCTTAACCAGACTGGTAGCCCTGAGAGTATATTTATAATAAATAAGTTACCAAATACAAATAGGAAACTGACTAATAATTAATTCTACACTATTAGGTAGCCCCGCTACAAGTTTAGCAGTGGTAGTTTGTTTTGCCCATGGACAAGTTTTAGCTAAATGTTTATTTAGTTCAGCCAGGGAAACGGTAGTACAACACAAGTACACAACATTAACAAAGATGGGTGATGATCAATAAACAAACAACTAAACAGAACAATCTCATCTCAAACAGTAATAAAATAAGTCCATGCTTTATCTAAACTTGCTGGGATTAAATGGCTGCTACGTTATTAATCAACAGCAATTTAACTGCTACCCTAGTACCCTGGCTGTTCACTGCACCTCTTCCACCCCACCATTTCTCTTAGTCGGAAATCCATTTAGACCACCAATCGTCAACTAAAAAGTCTACCATCTCCTGTAATTAAATAAACCAACTTACAAGTTAGTTGCTTTTCTTTTTGTACAACTTGATTCTTCTGTAGCATTAGACTAAAAAAGATCATGATCAAACGGGCAAAACAAAAGTATCAAATTAAGATATCACATTAACATAATGCATAGTACCAGAATAGAAACATGATTAACAGAATATTGATTCCTTGATTGCTTACATATAAAGGGATTCGCTTTGGGAAAGGCCTAGAAGTTAACAGCACGTCCTCATATCTCAGTGACCACCAACTGCACACGATTTTAGATGAGATCAGGCCATAAAAAACAATTTTAACCAAAAGAAAACAGTCTAATGAATTATAGAGCTAAGGAAACATTCGGGCACCCTTTAACTGCTTCACATTGACAATCATATTCTTGCAAATATAGTTTAACCAACTAAGAGAACCATTTGTTACAAGCTTTAATGAGTGCTAATGTTTGGCATAACCACAAAGGCTTTGCTTAAAAATACAAACTATAGTAACATGAAATAGACCATTTCTCCAAAAAACCATAGAAGGTAATTCAATGAGGTTCCATGGAAAATGCAGATGCATTGACTTTAAGAAACAGCAAAGGGTTTGGTCACTACTCGGAATTTGAAACCTTACAGTTCCTGGAAACAAATGGTTTTTTGAACTTCTAGCATTACTATTTGTAATGATAATAAAAAAAAAAAGATTACGGCAAGATTGGGGTTTTTGCTATCTTCTTTGGCTTCCTTGAAGTGTCCCCAACCCATTGTCTGCGGGTTTCCTCCCAAGCTAGGGCACCTGGAACACAAATCATGTAACAGGAGATGTTTAACATAATATGCAAATATAATTTAGTCAGCTGCATTGTTCATAGCTAATGCTGAAACCATAAGGCATTAATAGGCTCACCATAATTAATAAATACAGGAGGCACATTTGCAACATTTTCTGAATCCTCCTTGTGAGTTTCTGTCTCAGATTTGGATCCTTCCACTTGTCGCTCCTTTGGATTGGGAACATCAGTATTTATCTCCATTCCAGTTCTTATAAAACTCATTACCCTTTGAAACCCAAGGTTGTCTCTCAACCAATGTGTTCTCAGAGTGATGCAATTAAGGCTGCACTAAGTAACGATACAAAAAAATGATTAACAGTGTAAATCAAAGAAAAAATGAAATAATAAGAAATCTTTTCAAAACTAAGATGCATTATACCAAATGGGGAAACAAAAATAAAGAATGACTAGTATTAATATAAAAATCTGAAATTAGATTATCCAAACCAGTAGATACAAAGTGGAAATTACTACATGGCTGATGGTTCAAGTAAAGAATGGTCTATTAGTCACATTTCCCTATTCTTAGCTAAGGCCACCCTTACAACCATGGAAGAAAGATAACTCGTTAAAAGAAAAAGGAAACAGTGGCCCTGTTCAGCAGTAAGTTCTGTCTTATTCTGCTTATCAATAGATCAGTTTTTTACTTATTTGGCTGAAATGGAGTTACCTAATGTTTTTCCTTTTAGATAATTTAGCAGATCTAATCATTTTCAGCCCAATAACCTCTTACCAAACAGGCTCATTAACTTCTAACTACTATTCTTTCAGGCGGTGGTCCATCCAAGGGATATTGGCTAGTACTTCAAACTGCATTTAGGGCAAACCGTTCCTCGGTAAATAGAATTCTAACCTTTGGAATTCAATGAACTGGCTCTTATTTCAAAGATAAAATTTGTTCCAATTCAGATCTTAAACATAATAGTGCGAAGTTCATTAAAGGAATTGCCAAAGATAACAGAAAAATTGCTACAAATAAAAAACACACCATAGAAACCCTACACACACACACACACATATATATCACATTTTGACCATTCATCAATCCGAGATGACAAGCACTGTCTTAATTTCACAGAGTTTCAAAAAGAAGGCTAACATTACTGCTTTCTTGTCCGCTCAATTCACCAGCTCGAAGGCTAATCCACTTTGAGATTGAAAATCATGAAACCAATTAAGCTAACACAACACTCTATGAAACCATATTAAGCTCCACATCTAAGTTAATCTATAACTGCTATAAGATCTAATATAACTACATACATGCACCTAAATTTAAGAAACTTACACATTGCAGAGGCAGGGAAAACATATACAGAATACAAAATACAAATTCTACTGGGAATCAATTCTAACTACTATTGACATAACAGCACAGTAAAAAAAATTAGAGCAATCAACAAATATTCAAAACGAAGGCAGAAAGTGAATAGTCAAACCTAGTGGGTGTCCAACAATGAGAAGAGAAGAAAGAAAGATAGAGGTGGAGAGTATAGGAAAGGGGGTATATATAGTGGATTAGTGGGAAATTTCTTGAGGCTGACTTTAACCCCAATAATACTTAAAGCTATTTTTGCACTTGGTTTGTTTGGTATTATTGGCAGCTTGGATCATAAATGCAAGAGGCGTAGGTAAGTAATGCAGTTATCAAGATAAATTAATTAGAGGCAATGAGGTATGGTCAAGATTAAAACATTAGCAACATACATTCAAAAGTGGCTATCTTTGCAAGACCGACCAAAATATAATTTTGGACTGTCTTTGTGTGACACATAGATCAGTTGGTACTTCTTCGCCTCATTTTAAGTGTCTTGGCATCATACATTGGTAAAAATACATCTTCTTTTTTTATTAAATTGAATACCATTTCTGTCCATTTCTTAAGGACAATATTCTGTTGTTGATGTCATTTCTATCTTCGGGAAAAAATCCACACAATTTCTACTTTCTAAAAACAGCACCAAGTTAAAATTGAAATTACGGAGGAAAGGAGTGTTTTACAAAATCAATTGAACATGTTAAGTAACGTATATCATTACGTGACACGTTAAATAAAGGAAGATAACATCACCATGCACGATTTTGGCATACTTTCTCTCTCTCTCTCTCTCTCTCTCTCTCTCTCTGATATTTCTTTTTCAAGCGGACGTGGATCTGATGTGGACAAGATACCTTATTTGAAGATAAGCTATCGGATTGACTAAAATGCCATCCACTGATGCTGCTGAAAATTTGAAGCAACCCATAATTCGAGAATTGTACACCCATTTCACAAATCTATCTATATCTGTGTTATGGACCCATCCATGGGCTGATTAAGTTATGGAGCATAAGTCTTTATTATTATTAATTTGATTAGTCTTTTGCTCTTATGGCCTGTTTGTTTTGGCTTGTTTGTTTGGGGGTTAACCTAGGTTATTGCAGGTTTAATTTTTAGTTAGACCTGGACTCGGGCCGGTTCGGGCCCGGTTCGGGCCTGGGCCCGGCCGGGCCTCGGGCCAGGATAGTTGGGCCCGGGCCCGAACCGCCGGTGGGCGGTTCCGGTTCCGGGCCAAACCGGGCCGGGCCGGGCCGGGCCGGGCCTAACCGAAAATATTTTTTTTTTTTTGGCTCTTCTATTTAACCCCCAACCCCTCCCCCTCAACCCCAAACTACCCCAAACCACCTCAAATGGCCCAAAATACCTAATCCAACCCAAAAGTTAAAAAAAATTCAAAAAAAAAAAAATTAAAAATCGGACCGAAGCGGGCCCGAACCGGCCGGGCCGGTTCGCCAAAACCTCGGCCCGAGCCCGAACCGCCCAGCAGCCGGGCCGGGCCGAACCGAACCGGTGGGCCCACCGGGCTCCGGGCCGGGCCGGGCCTCACAGTAACCGGGCCGGGCCGGTTCCGGGCCGGGCCGCCCGAGTCCAGGTCTATTTTTAGTTAACTTCGTTTGTTTGTGTTTTTGCAACAAGAACCTAGGTCATGAGTTAACCTCACATAACGCCCGAGAACCTAGAAAAGACTTAAAATGAAAAACCTCCAAAGTGGGGGGGTTTGGAGATTAAGATCTCGTTTAACATAAAATGAGCTAGAGTGCACTCATCCAGACAACATTTATTACATTAACCTAGGTTCACCTTATTTATTTCGAAACACTATTTTACCATGAACCTAGGTTCACTTAGGTTTATCTAGTTTTTGTTCAAACTTAGGTTTACTTTATTGCATTGGGTTTACTTAAGTTCACTTTATACAAACAGAGCATTAGAGTTATAAAATAGTAAGAATTTTGGGATTTAGATGATATTCTGTTGTCTGATTAGAACTCTATATCCTTTTATCTTTGGGATATTTGTCTCTAAAAGGTGCATTAGTTGGAAATTGGGATGGATGGATGGATGGACGGACCAACAAACGGACCGATAGATTATACTTATATATATATATATATAGGAAAAACTTCCGGTAAGGTATACCTTATCGGAGCCGCCGTGCGGCCTCCACGCATTGAGGGCCTTCCCGATGGAATTTTTTGATGAAATTGTTTTAGCATGTTCTTCATCAAGTCTAGTACATCCATATCAAATTTCAGCAAAAAATTCAATCGGGAAGGCAGTCAAACGATTTTTGGAAGATAACTGCGTTTTATATGTATATAAAGGGTGCAGTTATCTTCCAAAAATCATTTGACTGCCTTCCCGATTAAACGTTTTGCTGAAATTTGGTATGGATGTACTAGACTTGATGAAGAACATGCTCACAAAATTTCATCGAAAAATTCCACCGGGAAGGCCCTCAAAACGTGGAGGCCGCACGGCGACTCCGGTAAGGTATACCTTACCGGAAGAGTTCCCTATATATATATATATATAGGGGTGAGTTCTAATGCAAAGAGGTCTTCCCATGAAAAGTGAGAAGTGATCTAAGCCTTTGATTACTTAAAAATGGATGGTATAGATCAAAACTCACGGTCAACCAAAATGTGTAAAACATAATAGCAAAAGTGCATATGCAATATCTAATGGTGCACATTCAGCTACTAACAAAATATCAGAAACTATAGTTATACTTCTTATTTTTTTTCCTAAAAAGTGGTGCACTTTTGTGTTAGTCTAATGCACTTTTCCTCTGTAGTCATGCACATTTGTCACAATATTTTTTAATTTTTTTTTATAATTACACTTTTGGCACCGAATTTTACCCTTTAAAATTGATCTCATCCACTCATTTTCTCATCTTAACGGCTAAAATTACTTCTCACTTTTCATATATATAATGCTGGAAAATTAATGACTCAAATAAAAATAGATAATCAACATTAGATGCCTACCACGTCGTGATTTTAGAGGAGAGGTTCTCAAAATATTACTCACTCGGTACCAATAAGATAGTCTCATTATTTCTTTTCCGGTTGGTCCCACTAAAATTGTTCCATAACCAATTTTGTAATGTTTACCTGGTTCAGTGAAATTTTCTATTTTCCCTTTTCAGTCCTGGGCTCCTAGCTACTGCATGTCTCAGCATCTCAGTCACAGGTTTAATACTTTCTGCAAACATACTGAGGAAAAAACGGTTAATGAATTCATAAAGAGCATTTTGAAAATATAATGACACTTGCAAAATTGAATGAATAAAAGACACTCTTGAAACTTTACTTTCTAAGAGATTCTCTGATGCTCAATAAATACTCCACTGTAAGCTTTTTCCCTTGCCAGACTTAGGGTTTGCATCTTTTGCCTGACTAGAAATGCATCTTCCCACTTGCCTGCATCTGCATAAATATTATACAGAATGACTCTGCTTGGCCCATGGGATGGCCCCACTTTTGCCAAGTTCTCAGCTGCTCTCTTCGCAGTTTCTGTGTTTCCGTGTGTTCTGCTTGCTGCTAAAAGTGCACCCCATACTACAACATCGGCCTCCATAGGCATACTCTCTATAAGCCTTTCTGCTTCATTCAACCTTCCGGCTCTCCCCAAAAGATCCACCATGCAACCATAATGTTTGATGTTTGGTTTTATTCTATAAAACTCCTTCATCCTCTTGAAATATTCCTCACCTACTTCCACAAGCCCAGCATGGCAGCAAGCAGTCAAGACACCAATGAATGTGATTGGGTTGGGTTTTATGGTATTATGTCTCTCCAAAGCAGAGAAAATTTCAAGTGACAGCTCAGCATGACTGTGCATAGCTAATCCACATATAATCGCATTCCAAGGTGAGACATCAGTTACTTTATCTTGGATTTTGTAGAACAGCTCTAAAGCTGTATCCACAGTGCCACATTTAGCATACATGTCAATTATGGCTGCACTCAGATTGTCGTTTAAAGGAATACAATTCTTGGATATATACTCGTGGGCCTGTTTACCATCTTCCAATGTCCCCAGAGTAGAAATCGCAGAGAAGACACTTACCATTGTGATTTCATTTGGTTTTATGCCACAAGCCACCATTCTATGGAAGAGGTCCAGTGCTAAAACTGGCTGATCCGTTTGTGAATAACCAGATATCAATGAACTCCAAGAAAAAACATCCGGATCGGGCATCCTGTCAAAAAGAGACCGACCTGCGTCAACTTTACCATTTCTAACTAGTCCTGCAATAAGAGCATTCCAACACACGGGATGGTCCTTGTTACCTAATTCAAACTGGACACAAGCAAGATCAGTTTCCCCACAAGCAGAATAAAGATGGATTATTGTTGCCTGGACAAAGTCATGGCTATCCAGCCCTGTCTTCAATGCCACACCATGAAACTGCTTGCCCTCTGAAATTGCCACCATTCTTGAACAAGCAGAAATCAAATCCACAATCATAATATCATTAGGTTTCAAGCCAGTACGAAGCATTTTCATATACAATGTCAAAGCCTCATGTAACTTTGCTCCAAGGATATAACCATCAATTACAGTACCCCAAGAAACCACATCCCTATCGACCATCTTCTCAAAAAGCTCTATCAATGGGTGTACAAGCTTAGCCTTTGCATAACCATTTAACATCACATTCCATGTAACAATATTCCTTGCCGGCATTTCATCAAACAGAATATGAGCATCCCTGAGAGAAGCACTGACACAATAGACATGTAGCAAATTAGTGGAAACGTGAACAAATCCATGAAGACCCAGCTTCAAAACCAATCCATGAAGCATTCTCCCACTCCGGACCCCCCCAGATTCCAAACAAGCTGATATCATACTCCCAATAGTCACCTCATTGGGAACCAGTCCCAAGCATCTCATCTCTCTAAAAACATGGATTGCCTTGTTCAAGAATCCCTTGCGAACTAAAACCATGAGGACAGTAGTGTACGATGCACAGTTCTTATGGTGCATTTTATCAAACAGTTGGCATGCCTTATCTACACATCCTAGTTTAGCATAAGCAGAAAACATAATGTTACAAGAAACGGGATCTAACCAAGGGAGCAGATCAAATATTTTCTTAGCATCATCGACGGATTGACATTTTGCATAGAAACTCATTAAACTGTTCACAATGAAAATGTTGGTATCAAGCCCGGATTTCAAGATAAGGCAATGAAGCTGCTGGCCTTGGGGGATAGAGGAGAAGGCCGAACAGGATTTCAAAGAAGAAACCAAAGAAAGTTCGTAATCAGGGGATTGAATAGGCCCTATTTCTTGTCTTCTGGAGTGAATAATTTGGGGACTAGACGAAATGAACCGGCAGATAACCGAAACTGACATATGAAACTGGTTCTTCAAGATTTTTGGTATATACAGACACTTCAAGCATCGTATATATCTTCCTATCATGCCCACCAAATACTTAGTCTTCAGCTTCTGTCAACGCTCAAGTGCTCAACAGTTCTGCCATGCACAACCTGATCCAGCAAATGTCTGGCTTTGAGTTATGGAATTCTTGTGAATCATTTGTCACCTGAGAGGCAAAGCCTTCTTATTATTTGTTGTGATATGATGAAAAAATAAACATGTAATGATATACAATGAGTTGATGACCTTAAACTAGGCATGTGATATGATGAAAATATAGTTAAATATAAAAAAGGCTGCAAAAGACGAAAAAATGGCAATGAACCAATACCACGTTGGATTTAAATATACAAATAAAAAAAAATGAAATTGGCGGTAAGAAACCGAAAACAAAAATTGGAAGTGATATGGGCAGTCAATCCATTACAATTTATCAATATCAAAAAACAGAAACATAATTTGCTTAAAGTGAATTAACTGATTGGATCAATATCTTGGGAGTTGCAAGAGAAATTCCTAATTAAGCCAGTCCCGAGGCGCTTCAATTTGAACAGGAAGTAGGAGTAGGACCGTGTATTCAGTGGCGGATCTAGCCCATACTGTTTTGGGTGTTCCAAACTAAATTAAATTGTCATAATAATCATGTCACAATTAATTGAACAATTTTATCTTTGTCGATCATAAAACTACCACATTAAAAAGTACTCCGTAATATATTATTAAAGTATAAGAAAATTACTTCATCAGCTGATTATCCAAAACTGTTTAAATAACTAGTACTCACACTCATTGACGATTACATAAGACAAAAAGAATATTCGTGAATAAATCCCTTCTATTATTTTAAATTCATTCACCAAAAACCCATACTACCAAAATATGAATACTAAATTAGGTTAGTCAGTCTCCCAATAAATCCAATTTAATAGTTATGTGATTCCTATAATCCTATCTACTGGGCCATTGTGGTACTGCACTACTGCCTACTGCAAGAGTTCCACATCAATTTTGTTTTTAATTATCAAGAAATGGGTGAGGAGCACATGCATATCAATGATCAATATCGTATATAAGTATCATATTTCCTCAAAAAGTCAAAATACACATACGAATTACAATTGATACAAACATAAAAAACAATTTAGAAAAACTAATTAGAGAAAATATACCAAAAAACCTGCGCAGCGGTAGCCGCCTAGCCAGTAGGGAGAGGCGTCTAGAGAGTATGTGGCTGAGTGAGAAGCGCCGGTGCAGTGGAGCGGTGGAGCGGTGGCAGGGACATAGCCAGGATGGATGTTTACCCTGGGCCGACTATACACTAAATTTCTAAAAAAACGTTATATAAAAATTGTAAAAGCGACAATAGTGTAAGCATAATGATTAATCCATTAAAATTCATAGTAATATGTTTTAAACAATACATACAATGTTTGAAACTAAAACGTTAACTGAACATGACACTACTTGACCTTGGCAAACACATCTATGACAGACTCAATGTCGATTTTGTTGGCAAATTCCTTTTCAATAAAGATGGTCAAACGATATTGGGAGTTTCAATTGAGACATTTAACTTTTGTCTACTTTGTGTGCTTGTAGTAGGCTTATAAAATGAACGCAATGTGATTTTTTCCTTTTTGGAAGTAGATTGAGTAGCCATACCTACTAAAATTACCAAAAAAATAAAAACTAATCAATATTTTATTTGAATTCATATACTTCATATTAATATTTTAAAAAATTCACAAACCACATTTGACATTCCTAATTTTCTATTTCACAATTCAAATTTCAAAGCACACAATTACACAAATCAATTGCACAATAAGTCACTAAAACAAACTAATTTAATAAATAAATTAATACACGTGGAAAAACAAAATTACACAAATCAATTGCACACTAAGTCACTAACACAAACTAATTTAACAAATAAATTAATGAACTAATAAACTAACACGAACTGATAAAAATTGTAAAAACACAAAAGTACATACCTTGGCTCAGCAGACCTGCAGGCTGCAGAAGAGAGGAGAAAAGCCAAAATACTGGAGAATGGAGTCCAAATTGGCTCAAGCCAAAGATGTGCAGTCCGCAGACGTCAAGACGGCGAGTCAACAAGCAGGTTAGGCCTTAGGGTGCTGGGTGCGTCTTCGGAGAGTCGGCGAGTCGGCGCGGCCGACGCCCAGTGAGTCGGCCGTCGGCGGTGTTGGCTGAGGCGTGCCACGTGCGTCTGCAAGTCTGCAAGTCTCCAACTCTGCGTGACTGCGTCTCAGGCTTTGCTTCTGGTTGCGCGCTTATTTTTTCCTTACAATAGAGCTGGACTTTCTTTTGCACTGGGCCATAATATTTTACACTGGGCCAGTTTTATTTTTACACTGGGCCAGTTTCTAAAAACAAATTAATCTATATATATACTACGTATAATACAAAAAATGCCCTCGGCCATGGCCCAGCCAGGCCACCCCCTCCCTCCGCCCCTGAGCGGTGGAGGCGTGGTCACGTGGAATACTGGAGGTCCGGCGTTCGGAGCGTGGTCGCGTGGAACGATGGGTAACCGGCAACGCCAGGAAAGTGAGGGTCTGGAGGGTTTAGAAACTGGAGTTGGACAAATGGACAATGGATTAATTGGTATTAGATAAATTTCAGTCAGTTCAGTCAATTTCAGTGTTACCAAACAGGCTCTTGATATGATAGGATTAAAATTTTAAATATTACTCCTCTCATTGACTCTCCTTCAAACATTTTGACTTTGATATCTCATATAAAAAAAATTCATTTCCGTTTTAGAAAATAATTAACACTCTTAAACGATAATTTAATTATTAAGTATTAAAAATAATACATCTAGAACATCACATTTGTCACTAATAACTCTATTATATTATATACTCATCAAAATTATTTTCAAAGATATACTCGAATAACCTAATTTAATTATTGTCTCAATAAACGTGTCATTTTAAAATAGGGACCTTTAAACTGGACAGATGTAGTACTAGCTTTGTTTTTATACATTCCATTGAAAAGTAATAGAAAACTTGTCATGTTAACGCGTTGAAGAACGAGATATCCTTATTAAAAGGGTACATTTTGCACTATTTTCGTCTAATTAAAAATATTGTACTTTATATCGGTGTTACTCCACAACATTGCTACACTTCATTAACAAGACGTTAGTGCACTTCGTGGTAAGAATCATTGCACGATTTCGTCGACATTAGTTCTCTTTCAACCAAAGTTAGGAATTTATCGATCATTTTTTTATTATTTCTTTTTACATTTAATAACTTTAGTATTTTACATTCAATTAAATATACTACGTATTATATTTCATGACGGTTTTAATGTTCTACATTAGTGCGTTACCAATCGTAGTCACTGCACTTCCCACTGATATTGTGACATTATCTATTGCATCTGATGCACTGCACAACTCTCTTCCTCAACACATTCATTCATTGTCACTTGTTCAACATCTATTGCTCACATGTTCAATGACCCACAAACCCCAATAGCAAAAAACTTTATTTTCAATTTCAATTTGCACATCGTTGTCTTTACAATATCGGGATTGGAATCCCTAGTGTAAACTTGTTCTCGATTGGAGTTCTGCCAAGCATCTTTAACCTTGTCTGTATACACCATTCGATGTAATCATGTAAGCAAGTCTGGGTTTAATGCATCAAACATAGAAATTTGGTGCATTGCGTTTGTTGTTTAAAATTGCGTCAAACTCGCTCGTGTTATAATTAATCATGCGTAGAATCCTTTAAGTGAACAACTTTTATTATCAAATAAAAGAAAAAAAATAGAATTTTTGTATAATTTAGATATTTTGATAAATTTACTCCACATTCGTTCATGATATTAGGAAAAATGATTTCCAAATTGTTAAATTTGTTCAAAATATATTGTGCATGAACAATTGTAACACAGGGGAGTTTGACGCATTTTTAAAATAATGGGGATAATGTGCTGAATTTCTATATTACGAGGGGTTTGGTGCATTAAATCTGAACTCTTCTACTGCATAGCTTAAGAGTCGACTCTCCTAGCAGTGTGTGACCCCCTAGTTCTGCTGTGAAATAAGGTTCGCTTGAACGACCACGTCCGGTGGGGCGACCACTAATCCATCCCAATCCTCAACCGTCCATGGAATGAGAGTCATCAGTGTTTCTGCGTGAATCTACTTGAAAGAACACTGGAGTGGCTACCTTCTTCTCCACTTCCTCACACCTCTTCGCATCAGCTTCCAATTTCTTCTTAGCCAACCGCTAGGCCTGAAGGAAGTCTTCAGGTTCAGTTTTCTTCTTAATCAAAAGCTCCGCCTCCGCTTCCCATGATGCATTCAAAGTATGCATCCACACACCGCCCTACAAATGAGCAAGGAGTAAGAGATCGAGCAGCTAAGGAACAAGGAGAAATTTTGGACGCTCGAAACGTTACCCGTAGGAAGTGTTCAACAACATGGTCAAGCACATCATCAATGCAGGGCAGGGCTGGATTTGGGATGCATAGGAGTGGGCATTGTCTGCCCAAGAGCAGCGGGTTGGAATCCAATAAGGTCAAGCCAACACGGGTTTAGGCGGGAACCCGCTGATTCGGCAGGAAACACATTTAATTTAATACAAGATATGGCAAATTTAGGCATTTAATGCAAGTAATAGGCCAATTCAATAAGTGGATTATGAGATTCTTTAGACTATCAAGGGGCAACATGTAGTCATCGACCATACCACCCAAGTAGTATTAATACCCTCATATTTGCTACAATAAGTGATAACTGAAATAACATTAGTAGCATTGAGTCTCTTCTCTGTAATCCAACATTGTAGCACTCAATAGAGTAATATACTTGGACAATCCACCGCCCAAGAGTGTATTATAAGAGATTAATACAAGATCGAATACATCCCGATACCATCCTTATTTCCCTATCTTTCTACATTGGAATTTGTCACCCACCAGAGGTACTGTGTTGGACCTTCGAGCCGAGGTAGTTAACGTCAAAACAGTCCCTAAAGACTACTCCCTTCGTCCCTTAAAAGTTGGTTAAGTTTGATCGACAAGAGAATTAATAAAGCAAAAATTATGTGATTAAAATTTATGCAAAGGAGAGAAAATTAATTGAAACCACAAATTCTTTACTTAAAAGGGAAAGTGACAAAGTTAGTGGGACAACCAAAAAAGAAAAAACTAAAAAAGTTTTAAGGAACGAAAGGAGTATATTTGATGAATATACATCTCAGTCTCTCAGAGTTGTTTAAAAATTTTGTAAAGGGGAAATTTCCGAAATAAAAGTAAAAATGTTTGGGAACTCTAAAATATGACAGTTATGTTTTTTCTTGTCGAAATGTTTGGGAAAAATATTATTGTCAAAATAATTATAGTCTTGGGCATTAACATGGCAGTGTTTACGGCCATTAATGCTATTATTTCAATCATGACAATAACGACTCATATTTCGGGATTAAAAACATAGTACTCCTATAATCCTATTTGGCATTCCATAACATATTTACTCTTATTTAGGGCAATTTCCCTTTTGTAAATAATACAAAAGCTGGAGAGCGGGAACTTGTGTCGATAAAACATGCACTAAAATCTGTAATGTAAATCAATTCATAAAACTAATGAAATTAAAGCTGATTCAATATAGAAAACCATATGTTACCATCTTCAGACTTTTGCCAATCATTTTTGCTCACCATTCTCTTCCTGACCACTTCCATCACTTTCAACCTTGGCAAGCTCTCTAATATAGAACCCTTCTGACCACCACCTTAGAATGTAGACTGATAGAGTGCTGACAGATCAGAGGCGCAAGAAACAAGGATTAGTTGTTGACTGAGTCTTCATTTATATATTAATTATTGTTTATTTGTTTAAACGAGTCAGTTAGAGAATAAGTGGGGTTTGGTGTCATGCATCAGTCCACTAGGCAGTTATTAGATCATGGGTGGAGTCAGTTAATGTGTCGGTTAATTGGTAGATCATGGATGAGTCAGTTATGTGTCAGTTTATTTCCTTCTTTATAAATAGCCTAGCCTTATTCAGGCTGAGGCATGCATGTATCAATATTATTTCCAGACCTGGAGATTCTCCCTTGGCTTCTACAATCACTCATATGTGAGATACTTGCTGTGAGAAGAGAGTAGGAGAGTTTAAATCACTTCATATCTTCCCGTTAATTCTCAGAACTTACCATTTGGTATCAGAGCCACGTTTTATTCATCCATGGTGACTACACGCTCATCAGCCGCAACCCGCAACCCAGAGGAAAATCCATTTTCTGCCGATCCTTTGGCCACCATTGCAGCGAAACTGGAGACACTGGACGAGTTAAAGGAAAAGGTGATGGCCTTGGAGATTCAAGCCTCCAAATCCAACCGAGGAAAAGGGAAGACGAGACGGTGGACCGATGATATTGAAGAAGAATCAGAAACGCATCGTCTGCGACCACCACAAGCAAAAATCGAATTCCCGAAGTTCCAGGGAGGTGACCCGCGTGGGTGGATTCTTAAGGCTGAGAAGTTCTTCCGTTATTACGAAACACCCGAAGATGACAAGGTGGACATAGCTTCAATGTATCTGGAAGGAGATGCTCTGGATCTGTTCTCGTGGATGAATACTGAAAGGACTTTGCTCTATTGGGAAGAATTGGTGAAAGCTCTAGAGGAACATTATGGGCCTCCTGAGTACTTGAACCCAGATGAGCACTTGTGCAACATTAAGCAAACAGGTTCTGTAGCGGAATACCGACAAGAGTGGGCACGAAGGATTGCACGAGTAACCAATTGGCCGGAGCACTGCTTGCTTGGAGTATTCCTGAATGGTCTCAGAGAAGAAATCAGATCAGAAGTCAGAATTCATAAACCACGGTCAGTTTATCGGGCTGCTAGTTTAGCCATAGAATTTGAGAAAAAGCTAGCCCAAATGAAGGGGGTTAGGCCCAATTCATACGCTTGCCAGATTCAGCCCACCTCCAGTACTAATCTCATTAGTCCAGCACATGATCAGGGAGTGACACCGGGAAATTCCAGTACGCTTTCTTCTTCGACAAACCCAAACAGTGCCACAAATTCACTTCCATCCGCAGCACGCTCGTGGGAAGCAACAAAACAGCAAAGGCGCGACAAGGGGCTGTGTTTCCGATGTGGGGACTCATTCCGACCGGGCCATCGCTGTTCTACTACATTCTCGTTATTGGAAGTTGTAGAAGACGAGCATTCAATGCCAAGTTCTTTAGAATCAGCCAAAGATGCAGAACGAGAACCACCTGCAGTAGATGCCCAGTTTTCTTTTAATGCCATCTTGGGTGATCCAACCACAACAACAATGAAACTGCGGGGTTTATTGGCTAACAAAGAAGTATTGTTGTTAGTAGATAGTGGCTCAACTCACAACTTCATATCAGATTCTCTGGTAAGTGAACTTGACTTGACAACCTCCTCTACTCAGACAATTGGGGTTCAGCTTGGTGATGGTCATGTTGTGCGTTGCAACTGTGTGTGCAAGGAGATTTCAGTACAACTTCCAGGTTTGGCCATCACCCAAGATTTTTATCCATTTTCTCTTGTGGATTCTGATATGGTACTGGGAATTAAGTGGCTTGCATCACTCAATACCATCCAATCTAATTGGAATGATATGTTCCTCATTTTTTGGGTGAATGGGAAGAAATATAAGTTACAAGGAATACAAAGGAGAGATTGTCAACCTGCAAGTTTTAATTTTAATCTTATGACCACAGTCGAGTCTACATCTAGTGCTATTAATGTGGGAATGGTGTCCATGGAATTTGAGGCTATAGAACCTGTAGCTCTTCCTCCTTTCAAAAATCAATTCCATGAAACTGAGCGACAGGTAGAGGACTTTCTAGACAAAGGGTTCATTCGTCCTAGCTCACATCCATTTGCAAGTTCAGATCTGTTGGTGAAGAAACACCATAATTCAGTGCGTATGTGTGTGGGTTATCGAGCCCTCAACAAAATCACAGTACCCGACACTGCATTGGGCGGTCATGGTGGATTCCTTACAACTTTGAAACGGATCTCCAGTACTGTTTTTTGGCAACACATGAAAGATGCATATCAGCATGCTCATCCCACAGAAGAGGCTACGTGGGAAGACTATGAATTCTTAGTGCAACAATTTCCAGAAATTCGCCTTGAGGACAAGTCGGGTTTCAAGGGAGGGGGTAATGATAGAGTGCTGACAGATCAGAGGCGCAAGAAACAAGGATTAGTTGTTGACTGAGTCTTCATTTATATATTAATTATTGTTTATTTGTTTAAACGAGTCAGTTAGAGAATAAGTGGGGTTTGGTGTCATGCATCAGTCCACTAGGCAGTTATTAGATCATGGGTGGAGTCAGTTAATGTGTCGGTTAATTGGTAGATCATGGATGAGTCAGTTATGTGTCAGTTTATTTCCTTCTTTATAAATAGCCTAGCCTTATTCAGGCTGAGGCATGCATGTATCAATATTATTTCCAGACCTGGAGATTCTCCCTTGGCTTCTACAATCACTCATATGTGAGATACTTGCTGTGAGAAGAGAGTAGGAGAGTTTAAATCACTTCATATCTTCCCGTTAATTCTCAGAACTTACCATAGACCATCCAAATATCAAATGGAGGACCAGAATTAACAATCTCAACACCAGAGCTGATAGCACCTCAATATAATGTAGATAACACGGTTCGACTGAAACCTAAATCCTAAACCACTGTTAATGCTCCAATTTTTATGAAGCCTAGATAAACCCACCCTAACTGAACCCGAACCCTGCCATTAAGGAATCATGGGGGTCACATTGTAGAGTTGGTCCCTTGGTAGCCTCACCAAGTTTGGGGTTTCGCTCTATGGTGAGACACTTCAAGTCCACATTTTAGGTGTGGTGGATTTGTAGCCTTTAAATAAGCTTTAACTAAATGTTGATTCAAAGCATGCAAATGGTATAATTCAGTGTGGTAAATGGTAATACAACAAATGTAGGCGATGATCAGAAAACAAACTAAACACAAAAATCTTATCTTTTACAGTAATAAAATAAATCTATGTTTTATCTGAATTTGCTGCTGGGGTTAACTGGCTGCTACGTTACTAAACAAGACCAATTATCTTGAGCTGCATGTAATGTTGCGCCAAATCTCTTAGTCGAAAAGCCCTTCATCGTACCAAACATCAACTAAGAAGTCTACCATCTCCTGCATATAAATATATGTGTGTGTAATATATAAAATGTTAGTTTCTTTTCTTTTTAATAAATTGATTTTAACGTGACATTAACATAACAAAAAAATACTAAACTGGTGAAAACACAGAGATCGAATTAAGATATATTGCAATAATGTAAACCATAGTATATGATAAGATATATGCTTCTTTAAATTCTTACAGATAAGGGGATTCGCTCTGAGAAAGGCTCATTAGTTGCAAGCAAGTCCTCATAGTTCAGTGACCAGCTGCAACCAAAATTAAATGCGGCTGGGTCATTAAAAACAATTGCAACAAAAATGTTAAAATTAAAATTGTCCTTATTGTTAAGGAATAATTGGCACCTTTCCAATACTTCACTTTTACACTCATCCTTGCAAATTTAGATTGTTGAACTCAGACCAGTGTAAACTAAGATCTTATACAGAGTATATTATTTTACTCTTCCATATTAAATTGGTGTGGGACCAAAAATTCAGTAATCTTAAAATAACAAGTTATAGTAATACAAAAGTATTTCATATCTTTAAACACCATGAAAGGTAATTAATTAACTGAAGTGCCACGGAGATTGTTGTTGTTGATAACAGAAAAGGGCCTGAACATGACTTGATTTTTAAGTCTCACCATTGCTGGACCAATTAGGCTTAAGAACTTCTGCTAGCATCGTAGCATTATTGTTTATTTCTTAAATAATGAATACCTTATGATTGGATCTTTCGCCATCTTATCTGACTTCTTTGAAGTGTCCCCAGTCCATTTGCTTCGGCTTTCCTCCCAAGCAAGAGCAGCTGGAATACATAAACATGTAACAGAAGGAGACGCTTGACTTAATATCCAAATATAATTAAGTATATACAGTGGTCAAAAGCTAATGCGGAAACCACAAGTCAGGCATTAGTCGCTGGCTGACCGTAATTGATAAATACAGGAGACTCATTTGGAACATTTTCAGAAGCCCTCTTGGTTTCTCTATCAGTTTTGCATCCTTCCACCGGTCTCTTATCCTTTGATTTGGGAATTCCAGTATTTATCTCCATCTTCTTTCTTATGAAAAATCATTACCCTTTGTAACACGAGAGGGTCTCTCAACCAAAGTGCTCTAAGAGTCCTCAGTGATGCAATAAAAGCTGTCTAAAACAAACAAAAATCAAAGATCTGAGATAATAAGAAATCTATTCAAAACTAAGATGCATTATACCAAATGGCAGACAGTAATACTTTAAAAAAGCTTAAAAATATCAACCTCAGTGTAGTAGATACAAAGCGAAAATTACTACGTGGATTGGGTAAATAAGAATTCGCCTTAGTAACAATGTATACTTCCCTATTTTATTAGCCAAGGAGACTCTTAGGTGCGAGAAGAAACATGACTCACCCAAAGAAAAAGAAACATTGGCCCTGTTCGGTTGCAAGTACTGGATTTATTCTGCTTATCAAAAGAATAGGTATTTTCTCACTTCTTTTGACAAAAATGGCAGTTACCAATTGTTTTTAGCCATTTAAGCCAAATAACCTCTTACCTAACAGACTTAGTAACTTACTTCTCCTGTTCTTTCTTTAATTAATCTAATTTTCGGTAGTCGGTCCATCCAAGGGAATGTGCCGATACCCTAAACTGCATCGAGAACGAACCAGTATTGGATATGTAGTAGACTAACCTCCGAGGTTCAATGAACGAACCAATAAATCAAAGATTACTTAGTTCTAACTCAGATATTAAAATTATAGCCCAGAGATCATTAAATGAGTTACTAAAGAGAACATCAACATCGCTGAAAGGAAAAAAAAAACTCCTCTTTCCATCAATGCAACCCCTACATGGTACATATAACGTTTTGACCATTCATCAATTCAATACAACAACAATGTCATAAATTTACAGCCTTTCACAGGTAAGACTAAGATTACTGATTTAATTTATACTTCTACCAATCAAAACTTTCCTTTAAATTCACCACCTCAAGGGGCACTCCACTTTTGGACTATAAATTTGGAAATCAATTAAGCTAACACAACACTCTGAAACCACATTAAGCTCAATGGTGATGTTACAGAGGGCCAATAATATCATACGGAACTACTTGAATGAGCGTAAATTTGAGGAATTTAGACATTGCAAAGAGAAGCAGATATCCAGAATAAAAAATATAAATTTCACAGGGAAATACTTCTAACTACTATTGCTATTCTATAACAACGAAGTAAAAAAAGAAAAAAGAAGGGAAAAGAAAAAACTTATGAAAGAGAAAGGCAGGAAGTGAGTAGTACCTTGTAGTGTCCGAAAATGAGAGAAGAGAAAAGAAAGGTATAAAGGCTGAGGAAAGGGGTATATATAGTGCGTATTTCTCGAGTCTTGAACATTTTTTTGCGCTCTGTTTCTTTGGCGTTATCCGCAAGTTGGCATGACAGCGATTTATGAGTAGGAGTTTTTTCTGGTGTGAATCCAATTCAAAAAAAAAATAATTTGCATAAACATATTTTGTGAACGGAATTTACACACAAAAAACCTTATACAAACATGTTGGGTACAAAAGTGGGTATAAGGGTGGGTACAAACAACTTTTTCGATATATAAACCGTCTAAAATTTGTCAATTAAAATGGTTTTTGAGTTTCGGAAAGCTGTCAATTTGGTTCTGGTATTATCACGAAAATGTCAATTAGGTCTTTGTACTTTTTATAAAATTAATCAAATCCCCGAACTCTGTAAAAATGATCATTTGAGTCCATTTGCAGGTTACTTTCCATGTTAGCATGTTACCCGTTGACGTGGCGCACATGTAACGGTTCACATGTGCAGTGGCGGACCGAACATGGGGGCAAATGGGGGCTGTTGTCCCCCCAAAATTTTATTTTTCTAGGTATATTTACCCCGAAATTTTAATATATATGTATTTCTATTTATATTTTTACCCTGCCGCCCCTCCTAGCCGGAATTCCTGTGTCCGCCGCTGCACATGTGCACCATGTCATCAACAAATAAATGACTAGAGTTCCACATGCACGCCACATCAGCAAAGTCACTGTGGATTGAGGTGCCACATGTGTGTCACGTTAGCGGGTGCCTTACTAACATGAACAAGTCACCTGCAAATGGACTCAATTGAATTTTTTTACAAAGTTCAGGGATTTGATTGGTTTTTTTAAAAGTACAATAATCTAATTTTCTTATTCATGATAGTGTGAGAACCAAATAGACAGTTTTCTCTAAACATTGGTGCAAATGAAATACATCTCTTATTCGAAATTTGGAAAAATCATTTTTTTAACGTTTGCACCACATATAGAAGAAGAAAGCGCTAACAAAATTAAATGGAGTGGAAATTGAATCGAGTATATTGAAGGTTGTTAATATCTCGATTTAATGTGTAAAATTGAATTGCAAGTAAAATCGTTAACTTATAAAATTATAAAAATTGTACGGAGTAATAGAGTTATAGAGTCATAGAGAATCGTAAAATCATACGTAGTATAAAACTGTATTAAAATCATAATAAGATTTTTTATATAATTCGTTCAAATAAGCCATCTAAAATGTCAAATAAGCCCCCACCGTAGGTGGGAGCCTTTGCGGCACTGAGGTAAATGAATATGAAAATGAAAATGTTCAAAACTATTAAATTAATTATCAGAAAATGATACTCCGTATATAATTCGAATAGTAATAATATTAAGGAAAAATTGATAGTAATAATCCCAACTATTGGCGGTCCGCTCATAATAATCTCAACTATTGATTATTACAGAATAATCCCAACTTTAGGGACCTTCCGCCAATAATGGTCCCTATGAATAAATTCTTGTAGTTTCTAAAGTGGATGAGATGAGATATAACAAGTAATCCCTATAAATAATCTCAATTTTTAATTTTTACGCTTAATTTCCATTTAAAATTCACTTTTTATAGAGGTAATATATGGTCATGGACCATTATTGGCGGATAGTCTATATAGTTGGGATTATACAAAAATAATCAATAGTTGAGATTATTTTCAGCGGATCGACAATAGTTGAGATTATTATTTTCAATTTTTCCTAATATTAATAATATAGTTATGAAAGTGATGGATACTTGTGCTATTTAATTATTTTTATATTTTACATATATTTAACGTACGTTATTATTAACTTTATTTACATTATAAAAACAGTTTATGAATCTTGTTTATTACCTCATATGTATATAGTTTTATGTAATGAGATGACATAGTATTATTAACTTGCTTTTTTAATATTTATTTACTTATATGGAGTAATTATTAATATTTATGTTTGCTAGAATCTTAACGATTTATGATTCGACTTAATGATTCAATATTTAAAATCTTTTATCAATTCGATTTAAAAATATGATTTTGACGCATACTCCGTATTAATTTAGTGTAATCATTCAACACATACTTAAAATGTATGTAGGTTAACTTTATAATCCTACGAGCTTATTGGTGAGCAATTTACATGTATAAATTGTCGATCTTTTCTATGTGTAATGAGAGGAAGATTCGTGAGCATTTTACATGTGTATGATTGTACGAATCTAGATTGTTTTCAGTCCCATCAAACTTAAACCGATCAAATCAGACCAGATCAGACTTAAACAGACCAGACTTGACTTTCGTAGTTTTAAAATACACAGAGACCATACGTTTATCAGACCAGACTAGTTCAGACCAGATCAGACTTAAACAGACCATACCAGACGTTACTTTCGTAATTATAAAATACACAGAGACCAGACTTTTACCAGACCAAACCAAACTAGTTCAGACCAGACCAGATCAGACTAGAATTAAACAGATCAGACCAAACCATCAAATTACAGTCCAAGTAAAAACATCTTTAGTGAGTATAGTAGTTAATTTGGAGTCTTATGTAAGATCCGCGAAAATTTTTATATTAATGTAGATTATAAAGAGTTGTAGTCCAAATCAGATTTAGACAAAGCGCATCAAACTTTGTCACTTGTAAGACACACATAAGCCAAACATCTATCATACCAGATAAGATCGTAGCCCAAGCAACCTCACAACCCCCTGAACTAGAATGTTTGGTTAAAGGTTCTCATTTCAAAGTGACGAGTGAAATGCATAAATGGTATCTAAACAATTGATATTGTTGCATTTTGATACCTTAACCTTTGAATGAATCAAAGTAGTACCTTATCTACACATAAATGTTTCCACTTGCAGGTAATTTTAAAATTTACGGCCAAAAAATCATACGCGGTGGCTAGAATTCCACGTGTAGGTCCATTTCACCTTATTCTTGTTCATGTGATCACTATATGATGACGTTACACATGGAGGTACTAATTGATCATGCTACTAATTTTCACCGATGGAGTAAAATCATACGTGTAGAGTCACCATATAGTGATCGCATAGACAAAGATAAGGTGAGGTGGACTTTGCACATAGAATTTTGGCCGTCACGTGTGATTTTTGGTCGTAAATTTGAATAGTACTGCAAGTTGAAACATTTATGTATAGTTAAGGTATTACTTTGATTCATTTATGGGTTAAGGTACCAAAATGCAACAATATCAATAGTATAGGTACCATTTATGCATTTTACCTGCAAAGTGACACAATTATTTAGACAGTATTTGAATAAAATAAATCGAGTATATTTTGTTAAATAATTTTGATGAATATATAATATGATGAAGTCATTGATGATAACTCTGATGTTATAGATATATTATTTTTAATATTTGACTGTTAAATTTTCATTTAAGAGTGTTAATTGTTTACTATAATAATGATGAAAACCTTTATATGAGACGTCCAAACATTATAAAATGAAAGTGTGAACTTTAAAATGAGATGGAGAAAGTACTTTTTTGGGATTATCCTTCTAGAATATTATAGTATTTGTTCATGATAAATTGATAGGCAACATCTTGATTGGGATGAGAGTATGGGACTCAAAATGTGATCTCCTCTTTAGAAAATACCCCTTGGTCGTATGAAATTCTTCTCACTCACATTTTTGAAATGTACCAAAAATATTTCTCATTTCCCTTTTTGAAAATTTTTGTGTCACGAACATTCAGTTACATTTTATACTCAAATACTCCCTCCGTCCCACTAACAATGGGACAAGAAGGAGTGACACGCAAATCAATAGAAAATGTTTATGTGGTTGATATTGAATTGCTAAAGTAAGAATAAATTAAGAATGATTTAGAGTCACAAAAACTTTACCGAATTTGGTATGAAACAATCTTGGGACGGATTGAAACAGTAAAATGGGACAATATTAACCGGACGAGGAATACAATTTTACATTTTCACTCTATAAAAGGGGTGGTAGTCCTTTTTCTAATTTACTTCTGTTATGGTTTTCATCCGAAGATGAGGTAACAGACTTCACGCTTAAGATTGCTTGTATCTTTTTTTAAAGGAGTCTCGAGACTTTTTAGAAATGTTGCCAAATAAATTACAAAAAGGGGGAGAAATTATTACAAAAGCTTAACCGGAAATATTGCAAACCTTTTATACGGAGTAGTAAATATTACACCGGAGAAATTGATTCTGCTCCTCTAGGGAGCAGAATCAGAAGTTGGAGTGTTTGGGTGAAAGTGCAGAAGTGATTCTGTATCTCTAATTTGCTCCTAGAATCAGTTTTTTAGAAAACTTCAAAAAAGAAGCAGAATCAGAATCAGTTCTAAACACCCCTTATCTGTATGAAGTCTCGCTTTCTAGCGGACGTGGATCTGATGCGGATAAGATACACTGTTTGAACACAAGAATCGGATTGACTAAAATGCCATTCAACAGCGCGACTCAAATTCTGCATTCTGCCGTATCTCCCGGCTGTTGAGGCGTGGATGAGAAGGGTAGTTCGAGCAATGTACATTTATTTGGCCGCTGGAGTTTTTTGAGGGGGAAAAGAGCGTGTGACCTAATTGACTTGTCGCTGTGGGAAAACTTTATTAGGTGAGTAACCACTAGTCCACTTCCCACCAACACAGTTGGAGAAAAACGTTGGCCTCAAATTACTTCGACTATGAAAGTATGAATGGCTTTAGGGTTGGTTTGACCTCCTCAAATTACTTCGACAATGAACGACTTTAGGGTTGGTTTGCAACTGCTTTAAAAAAGGTAAAATATATGGTACAGCCGGCTGTACCATGCTCATGGTACAGCCGGCATTTTTTGTAATTAATTGCAGGTTTTTAGTTAAGCTGCTGCTCGCCTGCTCCCATTCTTCCTATTCTGTTTTCCGTTTTTCCGCCGGCTCCGCGCGTTTGCTTTTCCGTAAGAGAGTCCGTCTCTTCGTTGTTTGTTGGCTTAGTTTTACTTCTTTTTTGT